GCTGGCCCCGTGGCCTAGAGGTTAAGTTCAGTGTGCTCTGCTTCAGTGGCCTGAGTTCAGTTCCTGGGCATGGACTTACACCACTCATAGGCAGCCATGCTGTGGTGGCAACCCACCACAAAATAGGGGAAGATTGGCACAGATGTTAGCTCAGGGTGAATCTTCCTCAGCACAAAAAAAAAAAAAAAAAAAAAAGCAAGACACCATGTAACCAGGGCAGGATTGTGTGGGACTGACAGCAAGAAGTGAAAGCATTATCTCCAATTATCTCCAATGTCTCCTTCCTGTAGAGCCCTGGTTCCTGGCTCTGCCTAGATTTTCTGATTTGATTGGTCTGGGATGAGGCCATGCTCTGAAAGTTTTCAAAAGACAGCAGAGCTCAGATTAGTGGCTGCCTGTTGCCTGTAGGCACTGGGTTGCTATTGTACGGAAGTGATTTTATGTAATACCATGCCATCTGGAGGCAACTTGGACAACCCTTATTTTTATAAATGGAAGGACAGAGGTTCACTTGACGTAAATAATTTTCCCAATACCATTCAGCTCATAGGCAACAAGAGCCTAGATTTGGCGTGGGCTTTCCAGGCACCAAAGTGTCTACCCTTCCTAATACTGACCTTGTATTAAGTGAGCAGACAGAGCTGGGGAATAATTCACAGGCTAGATGGCCTTTGACTTCATGGCAGCATTTTTTATGAATGGAGCCGGGCAGGGAAGACACACCAGGTTGGGAGAAGAGGGGGCCCAATGTGTGGAGGTGGTAGCGAGATGGCCATGAGGCTGGGTTCCCCCTGTGACCCTGGCTAGACTAGGGTAGTGGAAGATTCAATTGCACAAATAAAACCAGACCAAAATATGAGAGGTCTTATCTGACCTGATGGTGGGTCAGGCCTTGGAACTGGGACAGGAGTTACAAAGGAGGAGAATAATGGAAGTTAAGGTCTATAATCTGTGAGATAACAGAGGCTTACTTTGTACAATTTTTCTGTTTTTGTTTTCCAATTTTTTTTTTTTTACTATAGTCAAATATATGTCGTATAAAATTTACCAAATAACCGTTTAAAAGGGTATGGTTCAGGGGCATTAAGTACATTCATATTGTTGAGAAACAATTATCACCATCTATCTCCAGAACATTTTCATCTTCCCAAACTGAAAAGTCCTGCTCGTTAAACAGTAACTCCTCATTTCTCTCTGCCTCCACACCCTGGCAGCCATTATTCTCCTCTCTGTCTCTATGAATTTGACTACTCTAGGTACCTTATATAAGTGGAATCATACAATATTTGTTCTTCTGTGATGACTTATTTCACTTACCATAATGTCTTCAAGATTCATCCTCGTTGTAGCATGTGTCAGAATGTCCCTTCTTTTTAAGGTTAAATAATATTCCATGGTATGTATATACCACATTTGTTTATCTATTTGTCTGTCCATCAACATTTGGGTTGCTTCCAATTTTGGCTATTGTGAATGATGCCACTATGAACAGTAGTGTACAAATATTTGTTCAAGTCCCTTCTTTTAATTTTTTGGGGTATATACCCAGGAAAGAAATTTCTGGATCATATGATAATTCTATGTTTAATTTTTGAGGAACTGCCATATTGTCTTTCACAGTGGCTATACCAGTTTACATTTCCACCAACAATGCACAAGTGTTCCAATTTCTCCATAGCCTCACAAACACTTGTCATTTTCTGGTTTTGTTTATTTTTTTAATTTTTAATTTTTGATATTAGCCATCCTAATAGTGTCTCATTGTGGTTTAATTACAATTTCCCTTATTAGTGATGTTTACCATTTGGTAAGCTAATGGGCCATTTATATATCTTATTTGGAGAAATAGCTGTTCAAGTCTTTGCCCAATTTTGAATCATATTGTTTGGGTTTTTTTGTAGAGTTGTAGGCATTCTTTAAATAATCTCAGTATCAATCCCATATCAGATAAATGATTTGCAAATATTTTTCCCATTCCCTTGGTTGCCTTTTCACTGTGTTGATAGTATCCCTTGTTGCACAAAAGTCTTTCCTTCTGATGAAATCCAATCTATTTATTTTCTGATGTGTTGCCTGTGCTTTTGGTCTCATATTCAAGAAATCATTACCCAATCCAATGGCATGATGATTTCTCTCCATATTTTCTCCTGAGAAATGAATAGATCATTTTATAATTTTAGCTCATATCTTTAGGTCTTTGATCCATTTTGAGTTACCAATTTGAGTTACCAAGAATGGGTAATGGTCCGACTTCAACCTTTTGCATGTGGAGATGCAGTTTTCCAACTCTATTGTTGAAAAGATTGTCTTCACCTAATGAATGGTCCTGGAACCCTTGTCAAAAGTTGTTTGACCAAATATACAAGGGTTTATTTCTGGGCTTTCTATTTTATTTCATTCGTCTATATATCTGTCATTACACCAGTATCACACTATTTTGATGACTGTAGCTTTGTAGTAAGTTTTGAAATCACAAAGTGTGAGACCTCCAACCTTGCTTTTTGTTAAATTGTTTTGGATACTCTGGATCTTTTGAAATTCCATATGAATTTTAGGATGGGCTTTCTATTTCTGCAAAAAAAAATATTGATAGAGATTGCATGGAATCTGTCGCTCACCCTGGGTGGTAGGGACACCTTTAAAGTATTAATTCTTCTAATCCATTAAGCCTGGATTTTTTTCCGTTTATTTATATCTTCTTTAATTTCTTTCAGTAGTCTTGTAGTTTTCAATGTAAAACCTTCCACCTCCTTGTTTAAGTTTATTCTTAAGTATTTTATTCTTTTGATGTTATTGTAAATGGAATTGTTTTTCTAATCTCCTCTTTGAAGTGTTCATTATTAATATATAGAAACACAACTGACTTTTGTGAGCTAATTTTGTTTCTTGCTACTTTCCTAAGTTTGTTTATTAGTTATCACAGGTTTTTTGGTGTGTGTGTGGAATCTTTAGGATTGTCTACGTATAATATCATGTCATGTGCCATTATTTCTTCAATCTCTCTGCTCCTTTCCTGTGACATCCATAATACAAATATAAATCCACATGATGGGGTCCTGTAAGTCCCTTAGACTCTACTCACTTTTCTGTATCCCTTTTGATTTTGCTCCTCAGACTTGATAATTTTTGATTCTTTGTGCGCCTATCCATGCTAAATGCTCTGTAGACATGATTCCCCCGTGTCGATCTTCTATTATTTCATTTATTACATCCCAGTTGCAAGCTATTGTGAGATGGTTATTTGTTTAAATGTCAACCAACTATACATGTAAAAGGAAGTAAATAGAATACTTTTGGTCTTATACAAACTTCTATTTAGTTCAAGGAAATAGCTATTTCTGAAAATCAGATTTCATCTTTTAAATGTCCTTAATATGAATGCATTTTATCCAGTTCAACAACTTGATTTGACCAATATTGACTGATTTCACATTTCTACAAGGTACCATGCTGGACACTTGGCAAGACACAAAGCTGAACTGACTCTCTGCTAGTCCTCTAAGAGCTCTCAGTTGGCTTCCCATTGTCCAACTGATTAATTAAAAAGCAGATATTTCTGTCACTGGTGGTGCACCTTGTGTAAGTGGTTGCTCCTTAATAGCTTGTTAGTTTTGCTTAGTAACTTCACTTAGTGAAAGTGAAATGAACAGCTTAACACCAGGAGGTCAGCTGCAGCAAGAAGGAGTGTTTTTCGGATGAAGTGGCTAATGGAGTCTGGAGAAGACACTCAGAACCACCCTGGGGTGGAGGTGGGGAGCACATCTAATCCCTGCTAGTATCAGCTCTTTCTAGCTGCTTGGTAGGTGTCAGGCACCATAGGCAGGGCCTTCTGGAAACATCCAACCCCAAAAGAGAAACAAGGGACATATTTTTGAGCAAGTGACTTTTTCTTGCCCCTCAGATCACACCTTGCTGGAATTCCCCTCAACCAAGACAAGTCTGCATTAAAATCCCCTTGGCCTCCAGGGCAAGTCTGAGAAGTTGGAAAGGCAGATATAGTGTCCACTCTAGAGACTGTAGAAATCCATGACCACACTTGCCTGAGAATATATATAATGTAACATGCAGAAGAGAAAGTGGAACTCTTGTCTTCATCGTTCTAGTCTTCAGTTCTTTGTACCACTTCATGATGGAAGCACAAGAAAGGGTGGAAGTGATGAGGGAAGGGTGGATGTCAGGGGTACAACAATGAAAGAGAGTGATTTAGGGCCACTAGCCTGCTTCTTATCTGGCAAACTTATTGTGAAGGACAAATGCAAAAAGAAATGAGACGTAAAAAGAGGAGAAAAAAAAGAGAACAGAAGAAACCAAGGATGGAAACAGTGGGAAGTGGCATTCTATTAGTGTGTGGAGGTGGAGGAGGAGGGAAGACTTTGAACCACCTGTAATTACACCTGCCTGCTCCAGTGTGTTGTGTGTTGTTTGTTTTTCCTGCTTTTTCCTCCCCAACTCCCCCCCAGCACATAGTTGTATATTTTAGTTGTGGCTTCTAGTTGTGGCATGTGGAGATGCCGCCTCAGCGTAGCCTGATAAGCGTTGCCATGTCCGCGCCAAGGATCCGAACTGGACGAAACCCTGGGCCACCGAAGCAGAGCGAGGGAACTTATGTGTTGTGGTTTTAAGTCTCACCTAATAAGACGCTCTAGCAGGAAGCCATCTGGAGACAACAGAAAAGCAGGAACAGGTTGCCTAAAGAAGTAAAGAGAATTTGCTGAACGTTATCTTATAAAACTTATGAAGCAAGTTTTGATGCCATTCTAGAAGCCAAACAATTGCCAGCAGAACTTCCTGCTGGCTTCTCTCCTAGGGCAAACAGCTTGGGCTTTCACAGTCACTGGATTTCCTAGGCAACAGAAGTGTAAACTTGAGAAAAGGCGGGGCCAGGATAGGGACTGATAGTAAGCTGAGCCAGTCAGGCTGTGAGTCTGCAGCAGTGACTGCAAGCTATCCAATTGGCATGAAGAGGGCGGACCAGGAGGTGAGCAGGAAAGGTAAGAGGGAGGAGGCAATAGGGGGATGGGCGGGGACCAGTCTTCCCAGATGCAGGAGAGAGCGTCCATAGTTGCAAGTCTAAGCAACTGGTGGCAACAGGTTAGCATTTAAGGTAAATCAATGTTTTTATCTATTATATTGATTTGATGACTTTTGTTTCATTTTAGCTTAAAAACGAAAAAAAGAGAGTAGATGTTACTTTCCGAAAAGAAAACCTAAAAGTTGATGAGAGCTCTTGGCTGTCAGTCTAGGGAGGAAATAGCTTGCTTGGTGCTGGGGGAGGCTTTTGTCATAGTTGCAAAGAGATATTCAGATAAAAATATACAAAAATACATTTTGTTTTGATGAAAGGGAAGGAAATAAACATCATTGAGAAGCCACTATGTACTGGATACTTGAGTGTGAAGTGTTTAGGTGAATTGCTGTAAGCAGCCTGTATGACCATTGATAAAACAGCTTCAAGAAGGATAAATATCTCAAGTCATTAAACAATTAAAAGATTGAGGTTTGATTCAGACCTTGGTTTGTTTGACACTCAAAGTTGTACTATATCTGCCATACCCTGCTGAACCGACCACTTAGAGTCAGAATTCTTATTAAAATGGACTGACACGGCTTATTAAAAATATATCAGAGAGTTGATTTGATGGACTGTGTAGTTGAGAAGGACCTTAATCAATGGTATTGCCAGGTGTCCACTCCTCTTGCCTTACAGTCTGGGGCCTAGTGAAACCACACTAAGCAGATGAGCTTCTTCCCTGTTTTTAGAGCTCTAATTGGTTCCTCGAAATCGTACAACTACAGAAATCTCTTTATTTTGTAATTTTGCATTTTAAATATTGAAATTTAAATTGTGGGCCTACATTTGTATTTATATTCAAATAACAATGATCTAATACCGATCACAATGATCAATTCTAATAGCAATCTACTAGCATTATGCTAAGTGCTGATGATATGACGACAGAAAACACAAAAGATACAGCCCTTGGCTTTAAGGACCTTATAGTCTAGTAGGAGAGGCAGTTCTGCAAGCAGTGAATTCTGTCATAGTGCAATGTGGATGCTATTTGGGCTTTGCACAGATTATACAAAGGAAGATGCGAGCTGTTTCCTTCTGGTGAGAGGGTTATGTGAAGCTTCATCACAGTGATTCTACAAGGAAGAGCAGTACTTTTCTAGACCAACAAGGGAGGCAAGATGTTCCTGAAAATGGGATGGCATGTACAAAGGCACAGAGATATAGAAACCTATGGTGTCTTTGGGGAATGTGAGTGGGTGCAGATGTAGACTAGATTTTGAAGGGGTGGAGAATGATTAGAAACAAGGCTGTAGAGATAGGCAGGGCCAACATATAAAATGCTAAGATGTTTGCTCTTTACCGGTACACAGTGGAGAGCCACCAAAGGCATTGAGACTAGAGTATGAAGTTCTGATTTCTGTTTTATAAAGATTGCTCTGACTGTCATCTGGAGGATGGATTGGAGGGGGAAAGACTGGAGGCAGGGAACCAGCTAAGGGGCAATTACAATAGTGGAAATAGAAGATTACTGGGTCCTGGACTAAGGTGGTATCCATGGCAATGGAAATGAGGGAAGGAACAGAGATGCAAAAGATGTCAAGATGGTGAAATTTTACAGGACTTGGCCACTGATTTGATGTAGAGGGTGAGAAGGAGTCTAGGGTAATGTCCAGTTAATGACCTGAGAAAATGGTGTTGTCATTTCCTGAGGCAAGGGATAAGGAGGAAAAGACAATGAATTTGGTTCTGGAACATTAAACTTGAAGCATCTGTAGATCACTGAAGTGCACATATTTTGTGGTAATTTGACATCTGGCTCTGAAGCTCAGGAGAGTGCATGACTTGGAATAAAGATTCGGGAGTCATCATTGTGTCCGTGGATATGGCTGAGATTGCTATGGGATGGTATGAGAGTGAGATTGGAATGTGATTCTTCCAATGTGATTGGAAGAATGAAACTGAAAAATGAAAGGAAAGTGGATGTTGAATTTTGAACTTTCAGAGGAGACCAGCTTTGGTTGGTGACAAAATGTAAGAGATGGGCTTGGAAAGGAATGTGAAAAGAGTGAGAGATGCAGTTGGTAGAAATCAAGGAACTCCAGGAAACTTACAGCTGCATATTAGATGGATTGTCAGGATGAGCACTGAGCTTGCCCAGATTGATGAGGGCACTTGGGATGAAAAGGAAGTCTCTGAGGCAGGACCCAGAGTCTCAGTGATTTATGAAATGACAGAGCCAAAGAGAGACATAGGGAGGATGTCCAGCTGGGCTGTGCTTCAAAGAAGGGTGTGAGAATGAGTCACGATGTGGAGATGGCAGGTGTGTTTTAGAGACTGTGAGGTTCCTTACTTGGGGTAAGAAGTACCTTTATCTGAGAAGGCTGCAGAAGTAGAGTTCCTTATACAAATTCAAGTACCAGATAGGATAAAGACATTGTACCCATCAGCCTCTTGGCAGGAAATGAATGGCACGTTCAAAAGTAGTAACAGAAAGGCGTTTAATGAAAGACAATTTACAAAGATGGGGATAGGGCTAAGGATATAGATAAGGGATGAGGAAACACCCCAGGGCTGCCACAGTGAAGAGGGAGAATTATCCTTAGGCCTGAAGGGGCAAGAGGAGGAGCAGTTCCCAGATCTCAGCAGGAGTGTTGCTGTAGGGAGGGCAGCCTTTGGTGAGAGATTGCCGTCACTGACAGCTGTAGCTTGGCAGAGAGGAAACCAGGAGCACGAATACTCCAACCTCTTTCTCTTCTTGCCCTCTGATCTCCTGCTGGTGCCTCCCATTGGCTGAATCCAGCTGGAAGCCAGGGAGCCAAGAAATGTGGTTAATGCAGTTCGTAGAGGTCAACCTCCATCAAGACAGATGTTGATGGAGAACGGACTGGGGAGGGGTCTGGGCAAACAGAATACTGAGCTCAGCAGCGAAGAGAGTTGGTTGTTCAGAGGCTGATGAGAATTAGGAGATTTATGATGGAATAAGGCAGTAGGAAAGGCTGAGCATCTCTGTGTGGATGGTACTCTTGGTACCAAGAGGGCTACCCATCTCTGTAACTTGTGGTGATGGGGCACCTAGGAGCAAGGAGGGGGAGTGTTTAGTTTGTGGAATACACCTTTACTTTCAATTGCTACTTTAATCTCTTTAATATATGAATTAAATGAGGCTCTACGTTACTGAATTTTCCTTGTGAATTTTTGCCCTTTGTTCTGATCTCAGATGGTTTTGTATAGAGAAAAATATCATGGTTCATAAGAGCAGTTTTCTGTATTTCAGAAATAAACAAGTTGGTATTTAGGAGAAGATACCATGACATGATGATTATTGTGTCACAGATGGGGCCACATGCTGCCTTCTGTTGACTCCTAATGCCCATAAAACTTAAACTGTTCATGACACTCTTCTGAGTGGGTTCTCTGGCACATTGCTGGCCATAATTCCATTGCTACCCAATGTCTTGTTTCTTCCCCAGTCTGGGAATAATTGTTTTCCTATTGCGTCTTCTGATAACCTGAAGTCAGATAAAATGAAAACTTTCCCATATACTGCAAACTGAAAAACATAATTTGAGAGAGCAGGACGGTTTTTGATTGGGAGGTGGTTTAAAGATGTCCTTACTTTCTTTGGGACCTCTGCTTCGTGCATCACCTCTGCGGTTGGCCCTCTGACCTCAGGAGGAGCTCCTCACACAGGGGAAGAAGAGAGGAGAAAGCTCTCCAGTAACTTACAATGTCAGTTGTTCTTACGAAGTGTGACTTGGACTCAGCATTGTTCATAAGCCTGTCCTGGTTTTTATGTACAAACGATTTGTGGCGACTACAGTGACTTCTTTAAAAAATGAGTATTTTCTGAAACGTTGTGGATAATTTACAAAAGACCACCAGGGCAGTGGCGGGCACAGAAGACCCTGCTCGGAATCTTGGTTCTGCTACTTCTCTCTGAGTTGGGATAACCCCTAAATCTCTTTGTCCCTCACTTTCCTTATTTGGTAAAATAGGAATAGCCACGTTCCCTCTAATGTGTGTAAAAGCATTTTGTAAACTAGGAGAGTTATTACCAAAACTTACCTTATACCAGACACACTTTTTTGTTCTCAAGAAACTGGATAATTTGTAAAACATAGGCTGCCCCTTTAGTAGAGAGCCTGACAGAGTAAGTATACAATAAATGCTTCCAATTGCTATTGTTGTTATCTTTAGCATGGTCCTAGGAGGCTGCAAACTGTTTCTCTATAGGACTGGATACAAAATATTTCAAGTTTGGGGGCGAGAAGGTCTCAGTTGCAACTACCCAACTTTACTGTTGTAGTGTGAAAGCAGCCACAGAATTACATAAACAAATGGGTGTGGCTGTTTTGCAACAAAACTTCATTTACAAAACTAGTTGAAGGGGCAAATTTGGCTGATGGGTCTTGGTCTGATGTCCCTGAGTCTAGTCCATTTTAGATTGTGCTGCCAAAACTCAGGGTATCTTTAATAACTGCCCATGGAAAGGTGGATCTTACTTACTTTGTGGGAATGGAGGTTGAGAAGTGAGAAATCATCGGTGTGCTAACTTCTGCTCCGGACTTACCTTAGTCTCCTCCATTGGGGCGATCTGGCTGCTCCTTACATCTCCCAAATCCTCAGGCACCTGATGATGTTGTGGAATGAGCTGATCCACACCTGCTCATACTCTGCTTTCTTGAGGGACTCCATGTCTTCTGCCAACTGTGGCAGAAACTGCCAGTTGCCTACACCATAGCCAGTTTCTTCTTCTTTGTAAACAGAACCTGGGAATTGCAAACCCAGTCTAAAATTCAGTTTCCCAGCCGTCTTACTCCATTCAGGCTGCTATAACAAAATGCCACAGACTGGTAGCTTATAAAAGCAGAAATCTATTTCTCACAGTTCTGGTGGCTGGGAAGTCCCAGATCAAGGCTCCAGCATGGTCAGGTGAGGGCTGTCTTCCTGGTACATAGCTAGCACCTTCTTGCTGTGTCTTCACATGATGGAAAGCATGAGGGATCTCCCCAGAGCCTCTTTTATAAATCACTAATCCCATTCATGAGGGCTTCAGCCTCGTGACCTAAGCACCTCCCAAAGTTCCCACC